GCACCAGCCACTACCTGAAGAAGAGTCCAAGCCCGACGGGACCCGCGAAAAGTCCTCCAGGTTCCGGTGGACAAACACCAAGCCCTACCGGGTCTCAGTCGTCGAATCCTGGTTCACAACCTAGAACACCACAGGGTACAGGTAATTTTTTATCATCATGCGAACTAGCATCTAATTTGAATACATACAGAACGTTTCACCAATTCTAATAATGTAATTATTAATATAATTAATAATATAATAATGTAATATGTAATTGATTCAACAGATAGAAAGATAAGAACGTTTACAATTTTAACTATTGATAATTCTTTTGTAAAAAATATTTAAAAAGCTAAGGTGCGAATGAAATTAAAGAAAAGAAATTTTGTTTAAATCGGTATATTGAATGATGTATTCGTTGAAACTGTAAGAAATATTTTCTAGCATAAAAGATTCTGTTCTGTTCGCAGGTACACCTGCCCAGACACCTTCCGGCGAGGTAACATTGAGTATCGAGAATGAACAACGGGATAAGGCTGAAATCGAGAACAATGAGAAAACGGAACGCGAGAAGAATCACGCGACAGAGAATAACAAAGACAACCTCGGTCAGCTGATGTTCAAACTGCGATACGTAAGCGAACAAAATGCTCTCGGGGTGACGGTGGTGAATTGCAAGGGGTTACCCGCGAGGGAACAAAATGCCACCAGCGATCCTTACGTGAAATTGAAACTGTTGCCTGATAAGCAGCATCAGGCGAAAACCAGAGTGCTCAGAAACACCAGAGATCCTGTCTACGACGAGGACTTCACATTCTTCGGGATATCGAAGGATCAGCTTCAGGTAACCCGTTACCTTTTCCTCTTCTAATTACTGTTTGAATAAATTTCGACAAGAGTGTCTTGAATTTTAGAATTTAATTATATTTTTCTCTCCTGCGAACGTAAAATATTCAAATATTTATTATACGAGGAAATGTGCTAATTTATGATATTAATGTATAGAAGTTAACAAAAATAATAATTCAAGGAAAGAAATGTTATATATTATATAATTTTAACGTTAATAGTAATTTAATAATAATTTGATTTAATAATAAGTTATCGAATAAATAAGTTAAATTAATTTTTAAAAAAATAAAGGTAAAAATAATTTAAATTTAGGACATCGATAAATTAAAATATCAATAGCCCGAATATATCATATATCTTCTTATTACCGTTCGCAGAAAATCAGTCTACACTTTATAGTGCTTAGCTTCGATAGATATTCTCGAGATGATATTATCGGTGAATTGACATGTGCACTTTCGACGGTGCCCGGCTTGGAGGAGGCCGATAATCAAGCGATATCGTTGTGCCGAAAAATATGTCCTAGAAGTCTGAAGGTAAGAAACAAATTATAAACTGTAAAGAAAATTATTTTTTAAAGTTATTCTATATTTAAGATACATACCGAATTAAAAATTTTAAAATGTTTATTATATTTGTTTGAAAAAATTTTGTAACCAATTTAATTTTTTAATTATTAAATATTAATTTTGAATATTTATTAATATCTATTAGAAAATAGAAATAAATATAACTATTAAATAAAATTATATATATTTTAGACTTAACTGTGGTATATAAACGCAAGTTTATATCAAGTAAATTTGATAATAATAATTTAAGAATCATACCTGTAATTTCAGATTCAATCACAGGGTAGGGGAGAGCTGCTCGTCTCCCTTTGTTGGCAACCAATCAACAGCCGATTGACGGTAGTTGTGCTGAAGGCGCAAAATTTGCCCAAGATGGACGTGACTGGGTTAGCGGATCCATATGTCAAGATCTATCTTCTGTACAATTCTCAACGCATCGCAAAGAGGAAGACGCGCGTAAAGAAACGTACCCTTAGTCCGGTATTCAACGAGTCTTTCGTATTCGATATTCCGAATGGTGCTGATGGTCTTAACAATGTCAGCCTCGAGTTTATGTTGATCGATTGGGATCGCGTTACAAGAAACGAGGTACGTTCCTGTAACTTTGCTTTTATTTCGCTACTGACTTTTGTTCTCCCATTTCAAATATCATCGATTCAATCAATTTTTCAGGACGTTGTTTTCATCTGTAAATATATATATATATATTTTAATAATATAATTGTTGATACAATTGTTTTTATATAATAATTTTCATAAAAACAGAAAAATATTCCATTTCTTTAATTTTTATATAGTAAATTTAAATTTTCTTTAATCCTTTAATTTTTTATATAAATAATAAATAAAATATTCATTAACTATATTTATATCAGAGTGTATAAAAATTGAATTGTTTAATTAATTTTTTAGACATGTTTCATTAAACATATTCTATTGCTCTTTATTTGCTTTTAAATATAGTTTTAAAATTTAAATTTTTCCTGAAAATAAAAGTTTGTTGTGTAGTATATCATAATTAGTAAATAATACTTATTTTTTTCTCTCTTTTTGTGTTAAGAGGAAAGTTTTGTAAGATCTTATAAATTTGTAAGATTTTGTAAGATAAAACTTTAAAAGTAATATTAAAAATAAAAGTATTACAATGTAACATAGTATTACATTAATCTTTGCACTGCTGTATAAAACATAAAGATAAAAATTTCTAGAAATACTTGGTAATTTCATTTGTGGCTGTATTGTATATCAACTGAAAAGTGCATGATTGATCGAACAATTAAGTCATGTTACATGCACGTAACATACTATTCTCTTAAACTATATACAATATTATACTATGTATGTAGATAAAGTATATAATGTAGCGTGAGGCGACTGAAAGTCGTACACACGCCCAGCGTAGCGTGATTTTTCGCAATTTTCTTACATAACACAATGCTAAACAAAATACCATTCGATCGAGAAATCAATCTTTAAATAATCTTAATTTTCAGAATTCTATCCGTGCATTTCATGTTAATTTAATTATAGGAAATATTCTACGAAATTAGAATAGATTATATTTCTAACATGATAAAGGAATTCAAACAATATTAAATTTAACATAATTGTATATAATTGTATAATTTTTAGGTTATTGGACGACTTGAATTCGGTGGGCCAGAATGTCAAGGATCCGCTTTGAATCATTGGAGAGAAGTTTGTAGCTCGCCACAGAGGCAGATCGCTGATTGGCACAAATTAAGGGAGTAAATAAATCTCTCCCGGCTCTATCAATTTTCCTGGAATCCCATCTCCAACTATCCAAAAAGCCCCACGTCCTTCTCTATTGTAAAACCACCAATCCAACCCCTTGAAACCCTACGATGAAGTAGGGTATCTGTTTTGTAAACCTAATACTCGATGTATATTAGGCTTGAAGCGAGTGGCGGCACGTCCACCCGCGATCGATGCAACTGCGGATGCACCACATGAAACATCTAATCGTTACGTGTCGGCATGAAGCGAGTACGAAGAGTAACTTCTGATCGCACGATAATTTCCGAATACAACCAGGCATCGATTCGATAACGAAACTGCACTTGCTTCTCTCGATTTAGATACCGAGGAAATCGATATTATCAACTGATATTTTTCTTTAATATTTTTCTTGATTCGAGTTATTTCTATAAATATAAATTTTCATTTAATAAAAAAAATGATTCGTTTAATAAATTTTTTTCTTTTCTGTGATTAATAACAGTACATTATATGTAGACATTTATCAATATTCTATTCAAAATAAATCAATAATATCAAGATTACAACAATGATATCAATTAGATTAATAATAATTGAAGACTTACAATCGAAAATTGATTCTTCTATGTTTCTAGCTCTCGAAGAAAGTATAATATTCACTCGTTTAAAGTTGCGATAAGAATTAATATCGCTCATTCGTACATTCAAATCGATATCGATACGATCGATTGGATACGATCGATATCGTTTCCATTATCGATATCGATTAATCGAACGAAGAATCGAATTTTAATCGACCGTCGATTGCATCTTCATTTATCGCAGTAGCAAACGATCGCGGGAGAAACGCATACAAAATGCTTTACGATAAATATAGTTGTTAAGATTTCCGACCAGATGGCAAAGGGAGGAGGAAAATGAAGCAGTTAAATATGAAGCAATCGAACGTTTGCTGATTGATGAACATCGCTGCACAGGGTCGTGCTGTCGAAAGTTCGTTGCATTTTAAAAAAAATTACGTTAAACAAAAATTTTTAAATCAGTGATTCTCAATTTAAATTGCAGATAAAACATACATTAAAATATTACTATTCTTATGTAAAGAAAATAACGTAATATATTTTTAAAAAAAATAGCATTTATAACTTGAAATTCATAACAACTTGAATTTTTTTTCAATAAGAAGAAAGATTTTACATGACCCTGTGATTATAAAGATCATGAAAATCGTCGTTTTTGAAAAAGTGAATAAGAATTAATTGTAACAGAGAATATCGAAAGTCATGACACACTCGCAACTATGTTTATTTCGCTTGTCGTCAAGATACAAGAATCCTTCCAAAATATTTATCGAACATGTTATAATAAATGGGAACAATCTTACAATATAATTTTCTGTCAGACTTTGTTCTTAGCAGAAAAAAAGATTCAAGTAATTTTCAATTAATTTTGATTATTATTTTTCGATCTTTATAAAAAATAAAATTTAAAATTTTAGTAGATAATAACCTCAAATAATAAATAATTTATCGATTATATAATAAATGAGTGAAATATATTTTGTGGAGTGATTCTTGTACAGAAAGTACAGCAAGCACCACGAGACGTGGAGATGTTGTTGAAAACAGCATAAGCATCAATTAAACTTAAAAACAATATTACGATTATTCGTTCCTGTTCCAAAATTCCCTAGCTCCACGTCAACTGGCCGAATGATAATTTGATTATTAAGAATAAGGAAAGCTACGATTGCTAAACGCAAAAATTAGCGCCAGCTTTTCCATTAAAAAATGTCAAAAATTTTCGATAAATGCGTCTCTCTCCTCAAAATAAAATTTTTAAAAAACATTCAATAAAGTTCTCACATTACTTGCTGCAGCAGAAAGCGCTGTATCAAGTACATAATATATGTATTTGCATAGGAGAGAAAACAATATATATTGCTATAAAAAGTTTATGGTGCATTAGATTATTCGTATATTTTACGCTGTTATATTCAATTTTTTATTTCTTGCAAATAACTAGTTGATTTTATATTCGTGACAAAAGTGAAGTATTTTTTTCTTCACTTTATTTGTGGAACGGGGTCGAGGAATTGTGACGTTGTTTTAAAGTGCCAATGAAGTCGCCATGCTTTGCGATTGTAAATATGTAACTTATGTTTAAATAGAAAAAAGAATGATCGAAATCTTTATTTAATTAAGAAGTCATTGTGGTTTCAATTGCTATTAATGAAAAAATTAGAATGTACAACTATACTTTATGAAAAAAAATCCATTTGCACAGAATATAACAAGAAACCAATGTCAAGTAGTAATCTTGTTGAAAAATTTTTAATGGTAGTTAATTATTATTATTATTATTAAATAATCATAAAAATAGTAAAAGTCAGCTTTCAACGAGTGAAAGTATTATTAACACTGCTTTATGCAATCAAATTACATATTATTTTAAAAAAACTTTGTTATTTGACAATGTATTGATGTACCTATTGTTATAGATAGAAAATTATTTTTATTCAATTAATATTTTTTACTTATTTGACGAATTTAAATATATATATAAGAATATAATTAGGAAGAATTCTAATTACAAATTAATAGTTTTTAAATCAATTTCACTGAAAAATAAATCAATGTATGCGTACGAGGTATATCATAAATTTAATTATGTGAAAGAAATTTCTGTTTACAGACCCCGTTCGCATATACAACACTGCGATGAATAACGAATATCGATTAAAATATTATATGTTTGAATTTACCGAAAAAATATAAAGTTAATTTAAATTTAAGATATAATTTTTAATATACATGGATTATATGGAAATATCAGCGCTTCACAATTAAAATAACTTTAGAATTCTTCAGCATTATTATACAATTACTATTAATTTCGAAATATTTACTACATTCAGGGCTTTTTTTCTGATGATTCTACATATATAACATAATAAAAATTTCATGAAAAAAAATAACAAAAATGTTCCTAGAAAGTAATCATATGTAACTCGATTAAGTAAATATTTTTAATATAATATTCGATTACAAAATAGAGCAACGTTTTTCAATGCAAAGTTTCAAAAATTTCAATGAACATTTCATATTTTACAACATACATATTTTAAAATATATATAAATTAAAAATTATGTCAATGAATTTTTTACTTAATTCAAATTCCAAAAAAAAAAATTCAATTAAAAAGTTAAATTACAAATATATATTTGTTGTTTTTTTGTAAAGTTAAATATCAAAAAAATAAAATTATATTAAACATTGTATTAAAAATTTCATGTAATACATCAATAAAAATAATTATCTTATCAATATGTTAAATGAAACACAGAAAATAAAATTATTTAACTGTGAAAATTAGAATAAAATAAAATAATTAAAACTGCATGATAAATATAGTAAATGTTAATTAATTTTTGAATGAAAATTTGAATTAATAAAATGAAATAAAATTAACACAAACAAATAAAAAGCAACGCTTAGAGTTATAGAACAAATGATGAAACTAAATAAAAATGCGATTTATATTTTCTGTCCACAGAAGAAAAGCACCTGACAAGTAAGATGTTCATATACACGCGCACGTCAAAGTCAATAACTAGTGACATATAAAACGATTGCTTATTTTTTTATCGTAACTTTCCGCTCCATCGTCCTTCCTTTGCAAAAGATGAAAAGGCAAGATCAGAGAGAAAGAACTATTGAGGCAAAAAGAAAAAGGAATTTTTTCTTACAGAAACGAAGATGCAACGACGAAGTATCATATAGATCAGCACCAATAAAAAACGAAAGTAACAACAGGTACATTGCAATATAAAAATATATTACAAAAGATACATTAAATACATAAATTTTCATAATTAAATATGGTAGAAAAAGAAAAGAGGAGAAATTCAAAAGATCGATAATATTGCACATAACGTTATACAACCAAAGAAAAAATGGCATTACATGATCAAGAATTTCAGAATATTTATTTAATTGCTATACCATTAAAAACTATATAAGAAACGAATATAATAAGTAGCACGTAGAGAAACATCTCATAAATATCGTCTGTCGTTCTCCATGAAGCTTGTTATCGATTGTTCGACGATTTTCTGATAAGGCTACAGTTGATGCGATTTCTGACAAATTGATGACAATTTCTAATGAGTAAATCCTTAATGTTTATATAGAATGAATATTGGAATATTAGAATCATAAAACGAATTCATGGAATATTCGAAAAATAAAAAATATGCAATGTAATCATTCTCATAAGAATTTAAGTATTATTATTTGATTGTTCTGATATATTCGTTAGAATATTGATTCATCAGAAAATGCAAATATAAAAAAAAGCTTCTCGAGATCAACAGATATGATATAACATGATGAACGTCGATACTGAATGCTGGAAAATCACCGTTCTTGTCACAGTTCCTTTATATCATATTTCTTCTTTCATTTATCGAAATTTTTCCCTTATAGACTTTACAACGATTTTTTGTATTGAGATTTACAATGTAGTTGATATTAATTTGTGGAATATAGAAAAGAGATTCACTTTAATTGTTTAGAATCCTTTCCTGTTTTCCAATAAAAAATAATATGTAAATTATTTTTAAATGGAACAAAATTATTTTTTATATTTTCTCAAAACAAAATCATTTTAAAAATTTTGTAAATTCACTTTCTATATTTTTTTTTATTTCTTTATTCTATATTATATTTATTCTGTAATATTTCAAAATATATTTGCCATATAGTATATGATTATTATTTTACGAAATATAATTGTTAATATGATATTTTGAAAATGATAAATTTTTAATTGTAATAAAATTCAATTATATTACATATGAATATAAATTTTAAATGTATACATTTAAAATATACACTCACTTATATTAGAAGATCCTGAAGTCATAACATTAAGTTTTTATGAACATTCATACAAATAAATCTTAAGAAACTGAAGTTAATGAAAGATTTAATATTAAGTCTAAGTTATTAACAATATTTTGCGTACAAAATCGGCTAGTTTCTTTTTTTTTTAGATCTATTACTGTATAAAACATAAAAAAATCAACATTTCATTTTAGAATCTTCTTCAAAAAAAAAAATCATGAAAAATAATTGGTTATATTAACACATTGAAGAAATATTTTATTTTATGTGATATAATGTGATATATTTTATATTTTTCATTATTTTATAAAATTAAATATATAAAATAATGAAAATCTGTTATATAAAAAAAATTTTTTTAATATTCAAATAATTATATATTATAATTTTATTAATATAAAATATAATTAAATTATTATTTATTATTATAATTACAATTATTTTTATATTTAATAATACATTTTTATTATAATTTTTTATTTATTTCTCAGATAATTTATTTATATAAAATATTAAATATCAGATGAGAAAAAAATAAAAGAGATATATATATATATATATATATATATTTTCAACTTGATAAAAAGATTAAATAAATAAATAAAGATCCGAAAAACTATTTTGCAAACATATTTTAAAACTATTTATGACTTCCGTATCATATCCTACACATTGCGAAATTAGATTTTAAAATATCACTTTTAATTCATAATTTATGTAATAAAATATTTATATGTACAATAAATAATCAATGTACA